GGCGATGTTGGCGATGTTGGCGATGTTGGTGATGTTGGCGATGTTGGCGATGTTGATGATGTTGGTGATATTGGCGATGTTGGCGATGTTGGTAATATTGCCGTTATCACAATATCGTCATAGTAAAATTGCCATGATATCGTCATGGGCTCTTCACGTTATTAAACTGTGTGTCTTTAGGCAAAAATACGAATTTTCAGTCTGCTCTTGTGGCGTATAGCACAGTAAACTACATGGACCATAATCCTTTGCGGACGCATCATCAGCCTGTGCTCTCGATGTGGATGCACCAGCGACTTTTAAGTCTGAGGTCTAAAAGAATTTTGGGTTTGTTGTGGCACGAAACGAGAAAGGAGAAAAGGTATTAAAAAAAAAAAAAAAAGGTAGGAAATACTGACAACATGAGAAGTGACTTGATAAACTGACATCCCGAAAACTTTCAAGAATGTGTTCAGAAAATCAAGTCGTGACAAAAACTATATGTGAAGCATTTACAACAGCGCCACCTCACAACAGCTCAGGAAATAACCAAAAGTCGAAATATAAAATGTTGTTGTTTGTTTGTTTTTTTTATTTCCTACAAGGACAACTCAAATATACATTGAGTAATAATGTGTTTAATGCAGCTTTGCCACATTTTACGTTTTTACAGAAACAAAACTTAAAACCACATGGCTCATTTGCATAAACTATAAGCGCTGAAAAAACCTAGCTCGCTCCTTGTGCTGATGCAGTTCAGCTTCTGTCAGACTTACTCCGCGAGGCTCCTGACTACAGTTTTATTACAATTGTTTATTTGTTACTTGAATTTTCTCTTCAACTTCAAATGCTTTTTGAGCTGTTCAAAATTGTCATTGATATGAAAATGACTATAAATGTTGCACCAAATGATGGTCAAAGCATTTTACAATGTCAGTCTTATTATTATGTATAATACTGTGACATGGTGAACCCAACCATCTCACAATAAATATCGCACCGTCAGGTTCATACCATGACAATATCGTATCGTGAGACTTGGATACACTCCTACTCTACATACATTTCCAGGACACTGCTTTCCCACTTCATTTTTTATACCCAAACACAATTTTTTCCTCGTCCCCGAGCATTGTGGCGGTGAATTACTTTGTGACACATAGACCTCGACGCAACTCCATAAGTCAAAAACCACGGTGAACAAAGGCGACAGTGTGCATTGAGTCAACGCAGAACTATAATCCTTACACCTGAATCTGCAGGATTTGTGTGTTAATGCATGAATGAAACTAAACAACACAACTCCAGGTCTGTTTGTGATGAGGAAACAACATTATAACATAAATCAGAAAATAATATGGACCCTTCAACATGACAAACTATCCAAAGTGATCGCAATTATATATAAATATAGATATACCCTAGATAAAAACAGTCTTTTTATTATATATAACTCGCTGGTAATGCCCTACATAACCTACGGTATTGAGATTTGGGGCAATACATATAAGACGAATACAAAGCCAATCTTTACCCTACAAAAAAAGGCAATAAGAGCAATCACATTATCAACTTATAACGAACCAACCAATGCATTATTTATAAACCTTCAAACGCTGAAATTTTATGATTTAGTCGACCTTTACACTCTTAAAATCATGTTCAAAGTAAACAACAATCTCCTGTCGAAATCGTTACAGAACATGTTCAAAATCCGAAAGAGCCGATATGAGCTCAGAGGCACGACCATGTTTATTAAAAAGAAAATCAGAACAAACATTATGAAATTTTGTAAATCTGTTAAAGGGGTGGAGCTCTGGAACAACTGTACAGAAAACCTAAAATTGTGCACCACTTTCTTTCACTTCATAAAGAAGTTTAAATGTTTAACTCTGGACAGATACATGAAATATGAGACTTAGTTTGTGCTGTAGAACTTTGTTGTTCTGTTACTGATTAGCTTGTTTCTTCCTGCTGTATATTATGAAGATGAACTGGTGCCAAGATGAAGCTCTGACAAAGGAATAAAGGGTAAAGGCATAATAAGCTTAAGCTTCAGCCTGCACCTTTTCGGTCTGTATATGTTAAATATGACTGTTTATGAATTAATGTCAAAATATACCTGTGACCGAAATAAATAAATAAAAATAAAAATTTAATTTTGTTTCCGTTGTTCTTAAGACAGTAAAAGTCAGTTGCCTCATAATCATAATCAGTTTTATATGATTTAATATTGTGTAATTATACGAGCTTGTGTGGGAGGTGTTTTGCTCATTGGTTTGCGGTCTGTTGTTGTTTTTACAGTTGACATTTGTGAGGTCACAGACTGTTCCCACACCTGAGTCACACACTGATAAGACTCAGTGTAAAGCCGACAAACAAGAACATAAACATGCAAAACCTCTCCTCAAACTGCTGCCAGAGGCTTTTAAAGAAGTTATTGTGCAGTGTTAGGTCAGCGTGACCCAGAAGATGAATGTCTTATGAAACGTGTAAACAAAACATGAAGGCGTGAAGCTGTTCAAATGACGTGACAAACATTAGCCTCTAGCAGTGAGTGAGCTGAGAAACCAAACTGAGCTCTAAAAGAATCGAGAAAGGTTCAAGGTTCAAGGTTCTTTATTTGTCATTGAAGCATTCGAGAGAAACACATGACAGAACGAAATGTGCTCCCCGAGGCCCATTGACCCAGAGAGAGATAAAAACAATAATAAATCAGCAATATAAAAAAGTAAGTACATCAAAACAACAACATTTAGCAGTTCCAATAGGCAAGCACAACCAGTGTTGGGACGGTTACTTTTAAAATGTATTACAGATTATTGATTACAGACCCCAAAATGTAGTTTGTAACGAAATCCATTAAATTACTTAAAGTGAGTAATGTAATCTGAATACTTTGGATTACTTGATTTGCTGTAGAGAAGCAAAGACGAGGAAATCTTCACATAAGATGTTTTGTCCGATAAAAGAAAATAAAAAGCACAGACTTTACTGAACCAGATTAAAAATATTATTGATAGAAGACGAGGAAACACGGTCCGCACAGCATGATTTAGTCCTGTTAAATCCTGTTTTAGACCTGGTTTAGTCCAGTTTTAGTCCTGGTTTAGTCCTGCTTTAGTCCTGTTTTAGACCTGGTTTTAGACCTGGTTTAGACCTGGTTTAGCCCTGGTTTAGATCTAGTTTAGATCTAGTTTAGACCTGGTTTTAGTCCTGTTTAGACCTAGTTTTAGACCAGTTTTTAGACCTGGTTTTAGACCTGGTTTAGACCTGGTTTAGACCTGGTTTTAGACCTGGTTTAGACCTGGTTTAGACCTGGTTTAGATCTAGTTTAGATCTAGTTTAGACCTGGTTTTAGTCCTGGTTTTAGTCCTGTTTAGACCTAGTTTTAGACCAGTTTTAGACCTGGTTTAGACCTAGTTTAGATCTAGTTTAGACCTGGTTTTAGTCCTGGTTTAGACCTGGTTTAGACCTGGTTTAGACCTGGTTTAGCTCTAGTTTAGACCTCATTTAGTTTCCAGCAATGAGTAG